AATGATTTTGATTTCTGACCAATAATCTTCTAAATGAAAAAAGATGACTTCAACCTGTATAATCCTTGTTTCTTTCTTTCTTTAATTTCTTGTTTTATTTTTTTATTTTAAATTTTTGAATTCAATTTTCAAATGAATATCACTTATGGCTGCTGCTATTTTCGTTGTGAATTTGTCTCTTTAATCCGATTTTCAGTTCGGTAGACTATCATATACAGCATTCAGGTTATGAACTTCNTAAAAATAAGTTTTTTATAAATTTATTTAATTGGTACAGTGTATAGAATTTCTACAGTGAAATGCCTGAAAATTATCATGTTTTCAGGTTTAAAGAATAAAGATATAATGCATTTATTAACAAATATCAATCATACAACAATACAAGTTATAGAAACATATGTTAGTACACCTCTACATGAGCTCTCTGTGACATGTAAGATATCTAGTCTGCACTCAGTTTCTTCCCAAGTTCTCTGGAACATATCTAGATTGGTTGTGCTGAAAGTTTCTGCAATCCTCGCAGCAAGGTTTTTAAAGTTTCACATTGGACTTTTGTAACTGTTATCTTTGATGTAGCCCAAAGAAAGAAATCCAGGATCATAATGACAGATGAACATGGATCAATGGTATTGGTCTATCTTTTTTGGTCCACCAATCTGGAAATGTTTCATTCAGAACTTGCTGGGCATCTAGTTACCATTGAGATGGAGCACCATCTTGCTGGAAAAAGACATTTGGCTGCAGGTATTCCAGTACCTGCAGCCAAATGGAAAAGCAGAGTTATAGCATGTCCAGATAAATGTTGCCTGTATTAGTGTTTCCACAAAGACGAAGGGTTAAATAACCACGTTCTTCATGAGATCACACCAAATGTTGACTTTGGACTGTCTTGCATGTGTTCCCTGATGCAATGATGATTCTTGGGTCTCCATATTCAAACATTATGTTTGTTCATGGCTTCAGAAACATAAAGTTACCTCATTAGAGAACAGAATGTTTGACAAAGTTTGGATCTTTGTCAATTCAGTGAAGCATGTCAACAGAAAATTCCTGTTGTTGTTGTTGTTCATTTAGCTTTATCTCCTATAGAATCTGATGCTTGTAAATGTAAAGATGAAGCAATTTGCTTAGAACCTTGTGCACAGTTGCACATGGAATCTATAGTTCCTGGGAAGTTCATCAAATTGATTTTGTCAGACTGGACAAAACTTAACAGATATTATCAATTGGGAGACATTTCTGGCCACCCCTGTCCTGTGTCAGCATGCTTCCACACACCATAAATTTCTTGTACTATACTTTTAACAAATCACACCACATCCTGAGTGTTCTGCAGTAATTCATTTTTGTGGGAACAACTAAAACAGTGGTTTTCAAACACTGTGGCGACACACTTCAAAAATCCGCGAAATTTTTGAAGTGTGCCGCCATTGCGAATATCCATAAATAAGTGACGTCGGACAAGTAGTTTAATCGGTTCTACCTTCCTAGAGCACATGTGGAAATTGTAACTGGTGTTGCTGGTAGTTACCAAGGCATTTAGAAAGTGTGACCTAAGTAACCAACTGAATTTAAAAATCACTGTTATGACGTTACTGGTTGTCCTGTGGTACTTACCGAAGTAACCATGTGTGCCGCCAACTTTTTAAATTATTAAAAATGTATTATGACAAAAAAAGGTTGAGAATCACTGAACTAAAAGCATGCTTCTGAGTATCAGAAATGTATTGTAAAAATTTAAGTGGTAATTTTGACTCCTATACAACAGCAAATATACGAGGCGTGTCCAGAAAGTAAGTACCATTTTGTTTTACCGCCACCACAGTGGTAGTATCACAGTTCAGCACCTGCATACACGTGTCTCTGGTTGATTGCCAGTCCAGTGATGCCATTAGAGCCAGATTGTGTTGTTTTTCCACATGTTAGTGAGCATTCAAAATGTTTAAGACGATTGCCGATCCCGCCGACTGTGAAGTGCGTTCTGTAATACGGTTTTTGAATGCAAAGAATGTTAAGCCAGTTGAAATTCATTGTCAACTTGTAGAGATTTATGGTGAAAATGTAATGAGTGATGGAATAGTGATAAAGTGGGTTCGACAATTCAATGCTGGACGCACCAATGTTCATGACGTAGCACAGAGTGGCCGGGCCTTCTGCTGTCAATGATGGTTTGGTTGCAAAAGTGAATGAGAAAATTCTTGAAAACAGACGGTTCACAATAAGATTGCTTTGTGATGAGTTTCCACAAATTTCAAAAACTGTTTTGCATGAGATTGTCACAAATCAATGTTCAGCAGTGGTGTCTTCACTGTCGGCATCTTTCTTTGAAGAGCATATAGACAAGTTGGTTTCCCAATATGACGAATGTCTGAACAATGGTGGTAACTATGTAGAAAAATAGTTTCCAACATGCTCTTTCATGTAAAAATAAATTTTGTTTTGAAAAAAGATTTTTTATGTGAGTTTTTCCAAAAGGGTACTTACTTTCCGGACATGCCTCGTACCATTAATCTGATATTTTTTCATTTGCTAAATTGTGAAAGCATTAAAAATCAAAGCATTTCACTGTAGACACCTAATACATTAAATATCCCTGTGAATGTTTTTCCTTTATTATTATTTTATAATTGTTGCAGTCTTTAAAAATGCCAATGAAAGTAGAATTGTATTAAGAAATAGTCTAAAAAGTTTAACATATAAAAATTATCACAAAAGACACAGTCTGTCCAAAAATTATTTTTTGAAACCACCATTTATTCTGATCATGGATAATTTGTCACCAGAGGGATAAGGCCAAAATTTACATTTAACAGTGCATTTATCAAATGAATATAAAGGATTGAAATTCCCTAACTGGAAAGGATGCATGTTCAAGACGTCTGTAAGACCGCCAGTTCCAATTCTTTACTTTTAATGTTTTAATTGGATATTTTTGTGTGTTTTTTAAAAGAATGTTTTAGCCTGATGACCTAGTAGCCTACAAAGAAAGGTCGGATTGTTGATGGTGTTCTGGAACACATGATCAGAATAAATGGTGGTTTCAAAAAATAATTTTTGGACAGACTGTGTCTTTTGTGATTAAAATAAATTATCATCCAGCGAAATTCTACATATAAAAATTAATTACAGATTTTTGTATGAGACTCTAGTTATAACTTTCTAATTGTAAAGATTATTATATGAACATTGAAAAAGAAATAGTTTGCTTGCTTTGATTGGGTTTAATAATTGCAATAAATTTTAATTTTACATAAAGTTTTATAAACATTTAACAAATGCATAATTTATTATTCTGTTGAGTATTTCATATAATTTCATTAAACATTTTTCCAAAAATAAACAAAAAACAGAGTAGTTAATAATAATTGTATTTTCATTTTAACAATGTAAAAGTGCTCAAGAGAAATTTTTTAATTCTTATGCCTATTTAGGCATTTAAATATAATGATAAAATTATATTAATTAAAAAAAATTGCTTTCCTATGTATTTGTTTAGGCAAAAGATTAATTTTTTCTTATTAAATTTATTTATGTTTAGATAAAACAATTACAGACAGGCATAAATAAAAGAATATCGGATATCAAAGAATTAGAAAAAGAATGCAAGTCTGTTGGATCAGATGATTCTGAAAAGATTGAACGAAATAATCAATCATTAAAGCCATCAAATAATAAATCAATTACATTGATGAAAAATGTAAGTATTGAATGAATAAATTTAATGTTCATTTGTTATACAGGTAGGCCTCCTACAACGCGGTACCTTTACAACGCGTTTTCGCTCCAACGTGGTTGGAAAAATGCGGTAATTTTCTTACAACGCAGTTTACAGTATTTAGAAACGAATTATCTTTCACATAACAGAAAAATCGCAACGGATTACGTGATACGAACCGCAATTCGGCATACAGAACTAAATGTCCTTGAAAACAGCTGTTTGTTGCTGTTGGCGTGTTATTTATTGCCTTGAAAGTTTCAGGGGAAGACCGGTTTCTAGACAGATGTGCATCAGTTACCGTAAACACTCAAATATATTACTAAATTTTCCATCATTTATACTGTTTCAATAAGTGGGGACAGCAAAAATGGTCCAAAATACAGTATAAACTATTTGGTGTATATTTTTAACAACATAGTGAAGAAAAGTTATTTTTTGTGATTTTTACTGTCCACAAAACTGATTGAAAAAATTTTAGCCATAACAATGCCGAATGAAAAGAAAGGACCNATCTATCCTCAAAGGTAAAGTGCAAATAAAACTACATTTTTTTTTATCAATTATTATTATATTATGGTTATTTATACATTTACAACTACAAAATGCATTTTCAGTGTTTTCCTTACTGAAGTTATTTTTTTTTAATGTACTACTTTTTAATTTGAGTGTGTTTTTCGTGTTGGAACGAATTATTTGATTTTACATGTAATCATATGGGGAAAAATGATTCACCTTATGACATTTTCATGATACAATCTCAGTGTCAGAACAGATTAATTTTGTATCCTGAGGTACCAGTGTATTACATTATTAATAATTGAGTTTATTATAATGTAAGGACTTTCACGTTTTTGTGCTTAATATGAAAAATAATGTTTTCAACATCACTTTGCATTAAGAAGTTGAAAGAATTTAGGTGAAATAAGGAATTTTATGGATTTGAGTGATTGTTTTGAATGATTATTTGAATATTCAAATCATGTACTGTAAATGATAATTATTCTATTATAAGAATGTAAATGAACTATTTTAATCACTTAATATCATCAATAAATTTAAAAATGTAATTAATTAAAATGTAATAGTTTCATAATACATAAATGTTTGATGATAAAATGTCAGTTTTCAAAAATATAAATGTATTTTTAAATAGTCAAATGTTATATGTGGATGTATATTTTACAAATTTTAGAATTTTTAATAATTAATTTAAAACACATTTGTGAAAAATTAATGAACAGTTGTTTTCTATTAAAAATTTTATAAATATTTTCATTTCTAGGAAATATTGACTGAAAATGTGCAACCAGAAATTACTGTTTCTAATACTGAAGAAGTTGCAGAAACAAGCAATATTCTGTCAGAGGAACCTTTTAAAAATAATTGCATTGAAGCTGTAACTATAAATAATACTGTAGTATGTATTTTTGTTTAACAATATCATAACTAATATTGTGGTAACTAGGTCAATTGATGGCATTTTTATGAAGTTAATATGTTACTTTTCAAATATAGTTTCAAACAAAATATAAACATTTTTTTCATGTTGAATAATTTTTATAAAACTTTTAGCCAAAACCTGCACCTTTAGTGATAAACCTTGCTGAAGATTCGTCAACTAGTAATTCAGACAATGAAACAAAAGATCCAGAAACTCTTTCTCCTGATAATACAGAAGCACTTCCAGCAAGTTTAGAAGAATTATTAAAACAGGCTCGTAAAAAATCAGAGGTAAATTTTCAAAGAAAACCTCAATATACATTATATATAAATTATATAAAAATTTAACAGATAAATGTAGATCTAAAAGTATATATTAATAATGTACTTAAAAATAGAAGAAGTGAAGGATTTTTTCACAAGCATGTTTGAGACCAGATGGCATTTATGATTTTCATTACTGCTAGAAAAAGTTAGAACAGGAATTATTGTAATTTGCATCTCATGCAGCCTTCTACCAAATGTGAGTATATTGGGATGATTAAAAAAAGCTGTGATCATTCCAGATACTCATTTGAAAGGAAGCGGATGGCCAAAATTTGGTATTTCCTTTAGTGATAATTCTGTGTATTTCTGAATCACAGATGAATTCTATATTGTCTGAACAATCCACGTTCCATAAAATGCATTTTATAAATGTTTAAATTTTATTTGTTGTGTAATTTATAAAAATGATTACTATGTGATCTTTGTTCACAGTTCTTGATATACAAGAACTTGATACAGTAAACTGTTTTTTTTTTTTTTTTTAACATTTCTTTCCCATTTATGAGATAAAATGTTTGGTAGAATGGACACCAGCCAATATTCACAAGAACAAAATATTCTAATCAAGAATTTTAGTGAGATTGAAATAGGTGATGTTATGGGTTCCAGTTATGCTTCATTTAGGTGGCTTATAGGTTCCAATCTCATTTTCTGTTTTATTTACATTGCATCTTCATTTACAGAACCAATGTATACCATCTTTCACCTCTGATGCAGACTTGTGACAATGAATTTTCTTCATCCAACAGTCACTTCTTGTAGCAGTAAATATAATGTTATTAATTAAAAAACTAATTTTATTTTATTCTATTTTACTTGTTTTCTGCTTGTTTATAGTCTTCAACTAACTAGATTTTTTATAATTAAGTTAATATCAGATAACTTAGGTGTATGCTCTCATTTTTTATTCGTTACTTTTATATTGGTGTATAGTCTAATCAATATTTTGAATTTACTCAGTTGATAGGTAAATTTTTCTAGCATTTTAATGCTATTTACAGAACATATGTAGGGTGACTGAGTTATGTTGTAATGAGGTAGAAACTTTGACAGTAAGAAAGAACAATTAAGCTTTATTCTTTTTAACTTATGAGATAGGTTCATAAATCAGGGTTACACTGTAATTACTAATCATTAATGTAATGATTGGTTTATGAAATTACATTTAGGATTTATTTTTGTAGTTTTTATTTATTCATTATTCTTCAACATTTATTACAATTTTTTATCAGTTTGTAAATATTTTATATACTTCTATTAAAAACATTTACTGAATTGTTAAACANTTTTGTAAAAATTTTTTAATTATTTTAAAATTAACATTATTTTTAAACATTATAATATGTTAAGAATACTCATATATATACTCCTTTCCAGAGGTAATTAACTCTAAAGGAATAAATAATCATAGTTTCATGGGCATAACTTTTCATTGATAATTTTTAAAGTTGAAGTAAAAGAATAAAAATGTTAAATGATTGCAAAAGCAAAATAAAGAATAAGATAAATTATAGAATGAAAAGTATGATTTAAATTACATTTTAAATTTTGGGCATGATTCTATATAATATGTTTTCTTATATTGAAACAAAAAAATTTTATGAATATTTCTTAAAAATATTAAATTTTTTAAAATTAATTATGATGGAAATCTTTGTTTTATAGAACATCACAGAAAATTTTGAAATTAATTTAACATCCGAACATTTGAAAAATTTTAAAGAATTGCAGAAAGAAGAACATGTATTGGATCATTATAGTGATAAAGGTGTGATGATGTATTCTTACCAACTGTGTGATATATTTTGGCCAAAAATGAAAGAGGTAAGTTATGCATATATATAATGCAGGAGAAAATATGATATCTATTTTTACATAATTAAATTTTATATTATTATGATTATCATTATTTTTTAATTTTAAATGAGTTCAAATATGCAAACAATTATGATCATAAGGCACACTTCTCAAATAACAATCTTTGTTTAAAAATGACAATTATTGACAAGAAAGATTTGAATTCATAATCTGACAAACAACACATCTGTATTTGTATACAATGCTTATGTATATTTTAATTATTAAGACATTTATTTTAATTGTAACTGAACTTTCAAAATTACTTTTTCTACATTTAAAAACATTTTCTTTTGTAGTTTTGTATTTTGTTTATAGTAAACCTTTAAAATCATAAACATTTAAAATAATAGCATCATCCAGAATTCATAATACAGTGGTACCTCAGGATACGAACGCCCCAGCATACAAAATTTTCAGGATACGACATGAAATTTGAACATATTTTTGCTCCATGATACAAACAAAAACTCACCATACAACGTTAATTTGCAGCGCCACTGCCATGATCACATGTTTTTCTGTTCATCAGTCTCAGTCCGCGTGTTTGCTTCGTCATGGAAGGATCTCACTCAATAAAGGAAATCTTGAGGTATTATCAGAAAGTGACTGATTTTATTGAAAAGAAACATCCCGAGAAGGTTCACACTAGCTGTATTGCTGCTCGAAGTAATGACATTTGCCTAAGTCATTTTAGAAACATTAGTAGTAATAGGCAAAGCCAAACCTCTTTGGATAGATATTTTACCAAGCGACCTCTATCCAGTGAAAGTGCTGGTGGAAGTGAAGGAAAGAAANTTATAATTTGTAGTACTTTTCATAGATATAAATAAAATTGTAATTGAAGAATACATATTATTATTATTTTAGTATTTTATAAACACTGTTATGAAATAAACTTTTTTTGTAAATTCTTTATGAAGAATTTGGTATATTGCAAACTAACAAAAACAAAATTGAGACTATGAAAATATGTCTCAGTCAAAATCTAATTTTATGAAATCTTAAATAAGAAGTTAATGTTTCAATATATGTTTATTAAATTTTATTATGTGATAGTCATGAATAAAAATTTATTTTAATAGAAAAAAGCAGGATTTATTAAAAATGTTAGCCTTCAGACACCTTCAGCAGTATCCAAATTATCAAGAGCTCAACAGTTAGAATATAGAAAATTAAAAGAAGAAATTGCTAAAAGAGAATCTTTACAAAAGAATGAAAATAAAGATTCAGGCAATGAAAATTTAAAACAAACTGCAAAGTATGAAGAGAAATTGTCATTGGAAAGGTAATATTTAAGTTTTAAAATCTTTGAAGTTTAAATTTTTGAAACTTGATTTTTTTTATTATGCATCTGTTGAAGGTAATTTATTATTGTTGTCTATTGTTAAAGAAGAGCAAATTGTACCAGTAATTTGAGGGTAATTATCAGTTGAGGATAATTGTACCAGTTATTGCCATTTAGAAATTTCAAATTTTAAAATAAGCTAAACAAAAACTGTTCAGCTGCACAATCTATTGTTAGAGAGTAAATTAAAAACACATTGTATAAGAATTATTTTAAGGGGGAGCTACTGAGGCTTTTTATTTTTGAATTATATTTTGATATGTCAATTAGCTATCAGTCAGTTGGTGAAATATTACAGTTTAGAGTAAATTGATAACATTTGCACTGTATTTTAGAAAAAAACTTTTAAGGAAAGGTTCTAGTTGTAATAAATGATACTAGAAACATCAAAAATTAGTTTTTAATCATATTTTTTATTTAAACTATAGGGTATATTTTAATTATACTATATATGACACTCATTGGAATTTTATATATAATTAACAATTTTTTTTTTTTTAAATATATTTTCTAATGAGCAATTATTTTATTGTGACATTGTCACAATTCCAACCTGCAATTTTTAATCATATTTTAAATTTATTTAATTTAAAATACACTCTTCATCTCAAATTAGTAGTGACCTGCCCCTATCTGTCATACTTTTCCTTATAACAATAGATTAATTTTAGTCATCTATCTAAATCCTCACAGGAAAAAATTTTTGAATTGAAATAATGTGATTTCTGGTTTGCATTCGAAGTTTGTATATACAGTAGAGCGTCGTTTATCCGAATCAATTGGGGACTGGGGTTGTTCGGGTAACTTATTTTTCAGATAACCAATTATGTACGAAAAAATATATTAATTTATCCCGTGTTGAAATTTTTCTCCGTTGCGTGTCGCTTCGCGTTGNATCAAACAAGAAAAGAAAAACTTTATCTTTGGAATGTAAAGTTAACATTGGGTATGTTCGTAAAGTCGAACGAGTTAAGCGAGAATGAAGTCATCGTTATTCCTATTTCCTTAGACTTTTCGAACGATTCGTTACTAACGCGTTTAACTCGTTTGACTTTACGAACGTACCCATTATTAAAGACTTCGATACAAAAATGAAAATTTGTGAATTGGCAAAGAAGTTTGATCTACTGGAATTGTCGGTCAGAACAATTATAAAAGGCAAAGAAAAAATTCTCGAAGCTGTGAAAAATGCTCAATCTTTAAATTCAAGCATCATTCGTAAACGTCACGGTATTATTGCTGAGATGGAAACAATGTTAAAATTATGGCGTGATAATTAAATAAATGTGAAAAATTGTAAAATAATATAGGCCTGATTTGTTATACATATGTATTATCTAAGATTTTATTAAACTTTTTTTTAAATTATTGTTTTCTTTAGTCTCCGGCCCCAATTAAAAATTATTTGTATGTATTTATATGCGAAATTATACCCGACATACGCGAATTCGACTTACGCGGTTACCGCTTGGTCCCACCTATCGCATAAGTTCGGGGTATTACTGTATCTCAATTTAAAAGACTAAAATTCAGTTTTGTCACAGAATAAGTAATGAAAAATTCCATGCTCATTTCAATCGGTCTGAATCGTAAGTGCGACAAAAATATGAAATGAAATGGTTCAAATTTTTACAAGATATTATTATTATTTATTGTGAAATTTTGCCGCCCCCTAAAAGTGCCACCCTGCCGCCCCCACTACGCTACGCCACTGGTCAGCTGATGAAACCAGTGTTAAATTTGTGGCTACCAATGGCTGGTTTGAAAAATTCAAAAAACGCCATTCAGACGCCAAGTTTTTCTCTTTTTTAGAACCGAATCCCAGTTTTTGTATTGAGTTGGTGTCTCCTATAATGCGATTTCCCACAACGCGGTATTTCAAGGAACGTATCTACCGCGTTGTAGGAGGCCTACCTGTACTTAGTTTGAATATTTTGATTTTTTCATAATTAACAATGTTTAATATTCTTATTATTGTTGGTTTAAATAGTAAACAATAATATTTTATTAATATATCTATCTAAATTTTATTTAATAGCATACATAATAAAATCAATCAATAATATATTTCATTATGAAGAATTATTTTAAATACAGATCTTAGTATTATTTAAAAACTTAGTTGTTAATAGTTTTAAATCAGATGTGAAATGAAAAAATTAAGCAGCTTTGTTTTGAACAATCTTATTTTCAAAAAATAGTTTTTCCTATAAAATTGAGTTGAATTGAGTGGAGAATAAAGTAATAATAAGTTTATACAATTGGCATTTAATCATATTAGCTAAACAGTTTCCATAATTGTCTATCGAAAATCTATAAAATATCTTAGTTAACATACAATTTTCACATGGATAGTAGTTCATAATGTATCAAAAACTATTAAAAACAATTTTAAACATTTTTATAACTTTCTTTTTTAATATTAATATTATATCTCGAAAAATACTACTTTATTGAAAAAGTCAATGGCTTGTTACAATGGCACATACAAAACCAATAAACATAGCTTAATAATTTACATAAGAATTATTAAATATTATGTAATATTATATTATTAAATATTATGATGAAATGTAAAATTATGTTTATGCTATGTTTGTTAAATTTTGTGTGTGTCATTGTAACAAGCTGTTGGCTTTTTTCCTCCAGTAAAATATTTAAAATAGAGTAAAATATCATTATTTTTTAAAAAAGTAATGGTGATAAATAATTGTAAAAATTATGTAACTACTTGTTATACTTGACCAAATCATTATAATTATACTTATGTCTTATGATGAAATTTACAAATATGCAATATCTTTGTAACAGATAAAATACTTTTTGATGAATAGTTTTAGTACATTATTGGCAAAATATTTGCAAATTGAGTATTTTAAATTACTATTATTATATTTTTGCTTTTTATATGTATAATAATTTTTGCTTTTTATATTTATATAAATTTTAATTATCAGAACTAGATACTTAAAATTTCAAATTGTTAAAATTTTCCAGTGTTTAATTAGTTAATTTTTTTCCTTCTAGCCAACACCTAAAATGAAAGCTGAAATGAATATTTTGACAAATAGACCAAAAGCTAAAATGACTGGTGAAGAAATTGCACTTGAAAAGAAGCGACTGCAAACTTTAGAAAAAGAAATAACAACAAAATTACAAGAACTTAGAAAGAAATCTCATAAGACAATATTCTCAAAAAAATTAAAAAAATTAAATAATCCTCCAAAATTTTTTAATGAAAAATGTAAAAAATATACAGTGGATTTACCTCATAAAAACGTTTCAAATAATGGAAGAAAATTACATCGAAATATTCAATTAATTAAAAAAGAAGAAAAAGTGTTAAATAAAAGTGATAACTCTGAGAAATGTAATGAGAATTTAGTTTTATCTAACGATAAAGTGGTAAGTTAAAATATAATATGAAAATTATTGAATAATATATGAATTTATTATAAGTGTTTAGTAAGAAATCAATGATTCAAATAAATTTTTTTAAAGTATTTTTTATTATTTATTACAGTAATTGTCACAACTAATCAGTCAATGGTGATTGATGTAGTAGTAGCTATTCTTATAATTGATTAAATAATTCATAAGTCTTTAAGTAATAAATAACAATTATTGTTGAAGAAATTTAATAGAAGTTTCTCTTAAATATTTTTGTTAATTTCTCTCAAATTCATCATTGAAAATACTTGAGATTTTAATGTTGTATAGATTCTTAATTGCAAAAATTTATTACATTTAAATCATTAAATAGACTGTCTTATTTTATAATTAATATTTATTGAATGTTTTCCATTCAGTTTATTATAATCATAGTCACAAAATTAATTAACGTTACTAACAGGTTTAATATTAGCAGTAAAATTAAAATTGAGTGTAAGATATGTTGATCAATTTCTTGATAAATAAATTGACAGTGTTGTTAATTTATTGTTTAGAAAACATTCGATTTATAAACTATTTATTTAATTTTTTAATAATAAATAATATAAAGTTCTTTTGCTATTAAATTATTAAATATATTCATTACTTTTTTAAAATATATTATGTAAAGGAAAAATTAAATATAATATATTTATTGGGCTGCAATTTGAAAAAAAATTGTAGCCCTATAAATTCCCACTGTTGTTTGTTTATCTGTCTGTCCTTCCTTAATCTTTAGAACAGTGTTAGATAGATAAAAGTCAAGTTCAGATATGGAAAGCTGGCAGGAGGCTTGATTAACTATATACAAACTTCTGCTTTGGCCGGAAGTCACATTATTTTAATTTAAAAAATTTTCCCTTGAAAGGAGTTAGATGACCAGCATGACTATTGTTAGGAAAAGTATGATGTACAGGGGAAGACACTACTAAACTTAAGTGCAGTGTGATGAAAAATTGTAGTCTAGCATTGTGGCATAAATAATTGCTTGTACTTTAAATATACTTTTCATTTTAAAAAAATTAAAATTGTACTTATTTTTTAAAAATTTCAATTAGTATTAAAAAACAACAGTGTTTTTGAAATACCACATTTGTAATTTTGTTAAAATTGTTGTTTTTTGCTAAAATTGTTAAAAACAATCCTCACAGTATCACTGAGTATTGTTTGTTTGTGTGTGTGTCAGTCAGACATGAGCAATTGCCTCTCTGACCTCAATATTGAATTTCATTTTTTGTGGAATTTAAATGCCATTTAATGGAAATGACTGCTTTGTTTAATCTCAGTTTACTAAAACCGAAATGGTTAAATTGCATTATGATTATTATTTTATTTAAATAATCCTGAAACTTGTCTTAGAGAGAGTAAGATTGTATAAATGCAGAATATAATTAATATTATGCTTTATTTATGCCTATATGAATATGAGCTCTTCTAAATGATTTTGATTTCTGACCAATAATCTTCTAAATGAAAAAAGATGACTTCAACCTGTATAATCCTTGTTTCTTTCTTTCTTTAATTTCTTGTTTTATTTTTTTATTTTAAATTTTTGAATTCAATTTTCAAATGAATATCACTTATGGCTGCTGCTATTTTCGTTGTGAATTTG